GCATTAGGGAATTGAAATGGACTGGTATTGGCCAGCTACTTGTTTGAAAACAAGCCTTTAAGACCCTAGGCACTATTCCGCCATGGTTTTCTTAATGCAGCCCATCTCCGGGGATTAGCTCTTCAGTATACTAAATGAATAAGTATGGAAAAAGTATGCAGTGCTATGCCCACCTTTCCTTATTTTAAACCATATAATATCCCCTTGTATTGTTTGAAAGATTGCCTCTTAGTTCCTGTACATTTTCTATAGGAGTATAACGAAATGTCCTGGAATTCACATTTTTGCAAATGGTACGCATTGTTTGTTATAAACCACCTGGTCGAATGCCTTTGCATAGTCAGTGACGCAAAATCCAACATCTTTATGGTATTCTCAGCTTCCAGCCTTTCCTTTGAAGTTGTTTCCATCTTCTTGCTATTTTGAATAGTGCTGCTCTGCACATTACATATATCTATTCATGTTACAACACTTTATTTCAACACTTTTACCAAGTAAAAGGATTATTAGGTCACATGGCATTTCTCTGCCCAGTTGTTTGAGGAAGCGCCATACCATTTTCCACATTGGTTTCCATAGTTTTACAGCCCCACTAACAGTGTGTGTGGGTTCTAGATTCTCTCCATAATTTATTTTTTGTTTGTTTGAACTTTGCTGTCAATATCAATGTGAGGTTACCATGCAAATTTTATCTGCATCTCTCTGATGGTCAGTGATTGCCAACATTTCTTCTTTTGATTTTTGGCTGCAGAGATGTCATCTCTGATGAACTGTTCATGTCCTTTGCCCATTTTGTAAATAGTTTATTCCTGTTTCTCATGTTGAGGTATCAGTTTCCTGTAGTTTTGAGAGATTCGTCCCATGTCTTTGTTGTAGGAAAATTGTCCCCAATATGTGGATTCTCTTTACTCTTGATAAAATCTTTTGATACATAAAATTATCTGATTTTAGAATGTCTCAGTTAACTATTTTGCTATTTGTGTGTGTTTCATTATGTTTGAAAGTGAGTTTATGTCATGCATTAGGAGCTCTGGTGGCATAATAGGATACTCATTGGGCTGCTAACAAGGTCAGCAGCTCTAAACTGCCAGCACAATCTAGAGAGCCAGTTCTAATCAAAGCAGTGGTATCCACGGGATCAGCTCGTCCTTTTCTGTTTGAGGCTATGGGAACTGTTTTTTGGAACTTCTTTTTGTTCTCACAACTTGAGAACATCTCAAAGGAACCCATGTTGAGTCCTTTGGTGATGCCATCACTGCCCTCTTGATGGGAGGTAAATTAAAGAGTGCAGAATTATTTGGGAATGGGTTAGAGAGGTGCCTTGCCTTCAGAAGTATATAGACCGAGATGGGAGGCTATGTTAAGAAACAGTCACATTACAGCATGTGAATAAAGATTTTGTTTAATATTTTTATGGTTTCATAGAAATGTTTTTACTTTCAGAGCCTTAAAAAAGTTTCATTATATTACGCCATATTTTGTTCCAATTTGCAGCCCCTAAGTGAAATTTTGGATGAAGCCATCAAAAGTGCCATCATGAGCAGAAGCAAACGGGACAGCAATTTTTATAGTGTAGAGATTGGTGATTCTACATTTACAGTTCTGAAACGATATCAGAATTTAAAACCTATAGGATCTGGAGCTCAAGGAATTGTCTGGTAAGTTTTTCCTTTTAAAAAGTTAAAAATTAATAACTGCTACTTTTTTCTCTTTTCACCTTATAGATATGTGGTACCATTTAAGTTGCATTAAAATATTGAGATAAGTGATTTTGTTCAGGTACTAATTATCTTTTATTATAAAATCATTTATTTATAAATCAACATTGTCATCTTTATGTATACACAATGATTAATATTTGTTCAAAAACATATAAAGACAAATATCTATTTCAGGAAAGAGTAAGTGGCATGCTTAATTGCATTTGTACATCCATTCTTAAAGCTATTTAATAAGAAGCATCAGTGTCACATTAAAATGAACCTCTGGAATTTTAGAAATCTTATTTTGCGGTAACAGTGAAAGTCAGCTAATAAGAAGGGGCCTCAGAAAGGCAAGAATAGATATACACACACCTGTGTTTGATCCAGGACTATATTCACAATAGCAAACAGATAGAAGTAATGTAACTGTCCTTAAATTAATGAATGAGTAAACAAACACACACAATGGAATCCTATATAAGGTTAAGGATTAGGAGTGAATCTTTCAAACACCTTATAACATGGATGAATCTGGAGGACATGCTAAGTGAAATTAGTCAATCACAAAGGCTGACTGTTGTATAAGATCACTATTGTACAACGACAAGTAAAACTTTTTGCACTAAAAGAAATAATCTTGTGATTACCAGAAGTGGGAATAGAAAAGAGTGTAAGTTAATTAGTTAAAGGGTAGACACATGTTAACTTGTGTGACGAAGGCAATATGGAACAAGAGAGGTTGTAAAACATGATGGAGGCAGGGGAAGACACAGGCAAATTGCAAGAGTTAGAGGTAACAGATAAATACTATCATATACATAATCCTGTAATAATGTTCCATAAGTGGCTGCATGTATGGACATGTATGTTGAATGAGCGGGCGAAAGAATGGGGTAGTACTATGCTCACAAATAGGTTTGTCAGAGGATATTTGTACTTCAGAGGAAGAAGCTCCTGAAAGCCATTTGCATAGCATCTAAACACTGTCAGATGCTGAAGACCAAATGAATGGAAGCAGAACATTGTCAGAGATTGTGCTGGAGAATGAGCCTCTTCCGTCTGAAGGCACTTGAAATGCTACTGAGAAGGTGCTGCTTTCTCAAAGTAGAATTGGCAATGGTGACGAATGGAGTAAATCCTCTTGGGGGTAAGAAGATCTCCATTTGCTAATGGGAACAAGTCAAAAGGATAAACCAGCTGCAAGCATTAATTAATAGTTGGAACTTGGAATGTACCAAGTATAAATCTGGGAGAACTAGAAGTTGTCAAAAATAAAGTGAAACACATAGAGATTGATATTCTAGGCATTAGGGAATTGAAATGGACTGGTATTGGCCATTTTGAATCAGAAAATCATAGGGTTTACTATGCCGGGAATGACACAAATAAAGAGGAATGGGATTACATTCACTGTCAAAGAAGACATTTCAAGATCTGCCTTAATGGACAGTGCTGTCAGAGAATTATATATATCTGCATTAAAAAACTATTATTCAGATTTATGCACCAACCATGAAAGCTAGTGATGAAGAAATTAAAGAATTCTATCAAAGTCTACAGTCTGAAATTGATTAAATCAAGATGCATTAATAATTATTTTTTCATAGCAAATAATATTTTTCCAACAACACAAAATGCAACTATACACATAGGCTTCTCCAGATGGAATACACAGAAATCAAACTGGAATGGACACAAATATGGATCTTTTCTAGTCAGTTGGTCAAGTAGCTGACTTCCACATCTCCCGGCACAGACGTGTGAACGGGCCCAGTGCTTCATCAGCTTCTAGAAACATTTAAATTGGTTAATTACTAAAGCCTTTCCTTGGCTAATGTCTTCGGCAGAGTTTGAATTTCTTCCTTCAGTACCATTGGTCTTGACCGTATGCTACCTCTTGAAATGGTAGAATGTCGATGAGTTCTTTTTGGTACAGTGACTCTTGTGTGTTCTTTCCATCTTCTTTTGACGGTCCCTGCATTGTTCAATGTTTTGCCCATAGAATCTTTCAGTAGTGCAACTCGAAGTTGGAATTTTTTTCTTGAGTTCGTTCAGTTTCAGGTAAGTTGAGTGTGCTCTTCCTTTTTGCTTTCCTACTTCTAGGTCTTTGAACATTTTCTTAAAATATTTTACTGTGTTCTCCAACTGCCCTTTGAAGTTTTCTGTTCTGCTTGTTGACTTTATCGTTGCATCATGAACTAGGTCTGTATAATCTCAGAAATGTAGTGTTCAGTTTAAATGTCTAAAATCTACATATATTTATGTATACTTTAACATTTGCAAAATAATGCCATATATTTATGTGTATATGCATAAGTAAAAAATTAGAACATGGGAACTGATTTTTCCTCTGTTCTGGATTCTTGTAGTAATTACTAATATAAAAAATTGTGGAAAGACGAATCATTTTTCCAAACTGGTATTGTCTGATTGTCAATTTAAGATCATAAAGAGCCACAAGTTCATCTTAAAATCATGTGATGTATGCAATATTACAAGGATTCAGAAAAGCAACTCACTTAATATTTTAGCTCTATGATTCACTAGATTTGTATTCTTGACATTTAATGCCTATTTTATCACGGAATTTACAGGGTTTTTGTGCAAATTACATTATTTCTAAAATATTTGATAGTATTTAAAGATATATAAGCTTTTTGGTATCTTTGCCTAACCTCACAGACTTCTAAAAATACTACTCTTGACTAGCGTTGTCCTCGGGAATAATTATCTTCACAATTTCACTGATATAATAATTACAATTTTGAAATATTATGAAATATACAAGTATTAAACAAAAATTTTTATATGGTCTCAATCAACATACACACTGGGGGTGAGGAAGAGAATAGCTTTGCGGCCTGACCCATGAATAGAATGACTCATTGAGCTTGAATTGCTCCTTGGATACCCAGGTGATCCTGATTTGTGCACATGTAGGAATAACTAGCCAGAAATCTAATTTCTTTGAATACAGAATAATGGAATGAATCTACTCAGATACTTTTAAACTATTAGATTTTAAAATGCTTCTTTGATTTGGTAGATTAAAAATAAATAGAATGAATTTGAAAATAAAACTTGCTTTATCTGAAGGTAATCAAAAATTTTAATTATTTTGCATAATTCCTAATGTTTGGTTTTTTTACTTTGTTTTTTTTTAATTTAGGCAGAACATACTCCTAAATATAGCATTTTAGAGTAAGATTTAAAGTATTTATATTTATGGTGTGTATATATATGTATATATATGCATATAAATACTATAGATGTAACCATGTTAAAAAGGATCAAAACAGTCATTATCAGTTGCTATCACTAATTGGCCACAGGAAATAACACAAATTTGCTGGAAAAGTGTTGTCTGATTGTAGATGTAAGTCTGGTGACGCTGTCAGGTAAGTGTCAGACCACTGGCTCTATGATCAGCAGTTGAAACCCACCAGCTGCGCTATAGGCGATGCGACTGTTTCTCTAAAGATTTACAACTTTGGAAACCCTATATGCCATTAGTCGGAATCAACCAGTTGGTAGTGCTTTTATTTTATACTGGTGGTTGCGAGGAAGAGTGTTAAAGAGTATTGCTACTAGGGGTCTAATTTCTAAGTGGCTAGGTTTATTCTAAACAGGACGTAAATGTGTCTCTGCTATCAGTGGATGACTGCAGACCGTCTTCTCAGTTATACACTTTTTCTTATTCTACTTCCAAAACCAAACTCACTGCCATTGCATAGGACAAAGTAGAACTGCCCCCTGTGACTTTCCAAGGCTATAAATCTTTCCAGGAGCAGAAAACCTCGTGCTTCTCCTGAGTAGTGATCCGTGTGTTTGAATAGTTGGCCTTCTGGTGTAACCTAATACACCACCAGGGCTCCATCTAACCTGCTTTCAACCCAAAACCAAACTCACTGCCATTGAATCTTTTACTCACCGTGACTCTATAGAAAACAGTAAAACTACCCTTGTGGGTTTTAAAACTGCCCTGAAACTTTTTATGGAAGTAGAAAGCCTCATTTTTACGCTGCAGAGTGGCTGATAGTTTTAAACCACTAATCTTGCGGTTAGTAGCCAAATACATAATCTGCTACACCAACTGGCCAGCTGCCAATTCCAGGCAGAGAGGCCAGTTAGCTTAGAAGGTTATGGCAACTGTTTTGTGAGATTCCAAAAAGGGTAATCTTGGTAGATTTTGCCAAATGACACAGAATAATGACTAAGGCTTATAATGAAGAAATTGGGGGTGGGGGGAGAAAGAAAGAAAAAAATTAAAAACTGCATTAGTCAGAAAAAGGCTTGGGAAGTTGCACAGATTTTTTTCCCCATCGTAACAGTGCACATGCTTATTCTTGAGGGTTGGCCTCTGGAATTTTGCTGGGAAATTGTATCTCGTCCACCCGACAGCTTGATCTTTTCCCTTCAGACTTTTTGTTTCTCCCCTCAAAAATTCAAAGAACATTGAAAGGATTACAGTTTAAGTTCCTCAGAGATATCAAAATATCTGTTTTGATGTAGTATATATTAAAGAGTAAATTCTTAAATTCTTTGGAGAAAGATTTTAAGGATGGAAATATGGCCTTCAGAAATATATAGACCTAATGAAGGTTATGTCACGAATCAGTGTATCACTTTTGATATACTTTTGGTTTAATGTTTCTGTTATTTTGTAGTAGCACTTTATTTCAATCTCATAAATAAAGGAGAAATGTGGATAGACAAGGAATTTGATTCCATTTCAAGTATCTTTATGACACTAAGGATCTACATGGGTGTTTTAGGAATTCTGTAGATTTCTGCTGAGTTTTTGGTTGTCTTTTAAATTTTCTAATTGCAGTGCAGCTTATGATGCCATTCTTGAAAGAAATGTTGCCATCAAGAAGCTAAGCCGGCCATTTCAGAATCAAACTCATGCTAAGCGTGCTTACAGAGAACTAGTCCTTATGAAATGCGTTAATCACAAAAACGTAAGTGACCATTTTAATTTTCTTCAGAACAGATGAAATCAAGTTTTATTCATGAATATATGAGTTGGTTTTTTTTTAAGTATTAAGGGCATTAGCTTATTTTTCTGGGAAACTTTGTTTAATGTGATATATAGAGAGTGAATTTTTTCCTACTTTATATAACTATACCAGGAGATAACACAGTTCCTGAAATTTTGATTCTACAAGAATTTGTTGACATTTAATTTATAAAAAGTTTTAAAGGGGTAAATGCTTCAGCAGAACTTTATTTGGGCTTGGTTTGATTTTTATCAGACTAAAATTACAGAAGCTAGAGCCTTAACACAGAAGTGGAATTGTAACAGCTAAAATTTGACACTAGAACTTTTTTATTATTTAATAATACTGCATTTAAGACTTAAATGTACTACTTTTACGTATTATAAGAATAAATAGTGCTACTTAAAAATCCCCTTAAAATATCTTTACTGGTGGATGCATCTATTTTCTCCAAGCAAAGAGGAAATAAACTGGGACTGACTAGTGCAACAGATAGTTTATTACTTAGTGGGTCAGGTTCTTGCCTTCCTCAAATGAAGGTTTCCTGGAGAGGTACAGAATGGGATTTTTGCATAGAGAAATTTTATCGAGAATCTCCAGGGAGAGAGAGAAATTACCACACTAGCCTGTATGACTGACCCTGTGATTCTTCTCTGCCCGCCTTGCAGGTGGAACCCAGCTGTTCACAGGGAAGGGGAAATTCTGGTGGGGTAACAAGGGCTTTTGGGAAATGTAATCCCAACATACTGCACGGATTCTGCACAAGTTCAGTTGAGATTTCTGTCTTTGCTCACATGCCCTACCACATTTCCCCTTGAGAGATTACAAAGAATTTTTTTATGGGGTCAGGGACAAGGCTCTCGCCCATAGCTACTACCTGCTTGTATGGGACATAGTATATCATCACCCTGCCTATCTGAGTAAAACTTTCTCAATCTGGTCTACATTAAAGAGAAGTAAGCTCTTTCAGGTAAAGATGCTGGATTTGAGGCTGCAAGTCATTCATAGATACTGGGTAGCAGTCTGAGTCCTACAGGATTGATTGTTTTTGTTCTTTCAGAAAATTCCAACAGTCACACACAAAGGTTGCCCTAGGGGGAATTCTTAGTTATAATGAGGCAAAAGAAAAGAGGTGACAAGTGGATTGGCACCCATCAATGCCATGCGTGTCTAAGAACAATACTGATAACATAAATTATTCTGTGTGTTTCTTCATAATAAATTCTTAAACTTTATATTGTAAAGACAGGAAGAGGTTGGTTGGTCTAACGGGCTGAAATGACAGGATAAAGAAAACTTCCTTTTCGACAGTTTCTAGCTCTGAGGACACTTTTAGACACACTACATAATTTGTGTATGTGTGTGTGTCTGCATGCATGTCTCACTCTATAAGAGCACTATTTCTCTTTGCTTTCTCTTGGATTTTTGTTGGCCACTCATAGTTTTTTGTGCTAGAAATAAGTGTATACAGAGAGTATTGAAGATAGATTTTGAACTGATTCAAGGCATAGGATGAAAGTAGGCCTCTGTGTGCAGGTTGTGGCTTCTGAGTATTGAAGATGGATTTTGAACTGATTCAAGGCACAGGATGAAAGTAGGCCTCTGTGTGCAGGTTGTGGCTTCTGACACGGCCACATTCATTTCTCCTGATCGGAAACTGAAGATCGGGCTTTCTACTCCTACGGTATAAACAGTTACAGTCTCAGAAACCTATAGGGAGTCCTGTGAGCCAGCATTGAATAGATGGCAGTAAGAGTTAGAGTTGGCTGGGCTAAAGATGATGGCCACAGCGGGTTTTTTAAACTCACAGTGGTGCCGTTCCACCAGATACCATTTTGTCTGTCTTCACCAGGAAAATTCCTAGCGTTGATCAGAGCTTATGTTCATCACCTTGGTCTAAGCCACTTTTTTCCTCTGCTAAATATGAGGCAGTAGTGAAAAATAATACTTTGAGTGGAATGGAGATAAGCCAATTACTATCCCTTCTAAAGCTGACCTAATTTATTTATGTGCCTCTTCTTGATGGCAGCTCCTTCAGTAAATCTGGCGTCTGTAGGACCGTAATAGTGTGTAGTTATGTGAACCATTGTCTAATTCTGTGTATGTCTTCTGCTGTCCCTGTTTTATCCATCTGTGTGCCACAATGAGTGTATTTACAGTGACTGCTATACAGACTCTGTAGTGTACAGGCTCTACAGTATAGTAATAGTAAAGTGTATAGTATAGTATGACTAATGAAAATAAAGCTCAAAGCTGCTATTGTTGGGACATTTTGGCAATACAGCTTAGGCATTGCTGTTGTGCACCATGCCTCGCGGTATGGGTTGCTTGATAAATTTTAAAGACTTTAAATTTAACTCTAACATAACTCGGGATTAAAGCTTTTAAAAATGCCCCATCCCACCCTGAGTGTTAGATTAAGAGATTTCTCTCTTATTCTCATTTTACAACATGCAGTGCTGCAGTTGCAATTTTTTTATAACTTCTTGGCACCACATACTTAAAGTTTAAGGAAAGGCTTATGTTTTTTTCTTGAATACAAAGCATGTATTTTCCTTGAAAGGCAAGTGAGAATAGTGCTTTGGCAACTGTGTGCCACACAAGTAATCTATCATTTAGCTAGGCTTTAAGTGAGGTAGTCCAATAACAAATGGGAGCTCATAATTTTACTTTATTACATGAAGTAAAATCTTGCAAAAGTTTATAAAGTGTGAGGCAGAATCAAATAACTAACATTTTCTTGGGAGATATTTAACACTGCATTAGTTTACCAGCATTTGCTAAAGATTTTGACAGTTCAACAGAAGGATTCTTAATCCAAGTATCTATCCCCCTAAAAGGCAAAAGGTAATTAAAGACAGGTAATTAATAAAATTTCAGATTAAAAGATATAACATGTAGCCCATGTGCGGATAGTTAGATTGTATTTGCAGGTGAGTCACCCATCAGAAAGGAGACTGCTCAAGGGTTGTTGCATGAGGGTGCATAATTGGTAGGTTCAGTCCTGCAGCTGCTTTGGCCACCAAGTCAAGAATTTGGTCTTCTGTAGGTGAGAAAGATGGACCAAGAATTTGTACCTGGTATTTGTATATATCCACTAAGGCAAATATGACCTGCGAGACTAGGGCAGAAGATGCTAAGGATTATATAATAAGAGGTGGTAAATGTAAGACCAGACCCAAACTGACCGTCATTAGGCATCCTTGGAAGAATTAGAAATCTAACGTCTTTAAAGGATTTTACAATTATTATTATGTGCTTTTAAAATTTAAAGTATTTCAACTCTCCTGATCTATAATGAGCTGGTTCAAAGGCAAGCAGACAAGGTTTCTTGTGGGCAGTCCTCTCTTTGTTTTCTCAATACTTACCAGAGATCTAGAATTGCCAAACTTATCCCCAACCATTGACGTTTCCTCGTGATGTCTTGGGACAGATTTCTAAACTTAACTCTTATCACCATTTTTCCTATGGGACTCTCAGGATCCAGGTAAGTAGGTTTTATTATAGCCCCTTGTAACTTTTAACATGCCCCGTGGTTCCCTTGAGAGCTTTGGTTAATGGTGAATAGTTTACCATTATAATGTAGACAGACCACTGTCTTCAGGCCTAATTTCCCGCCATTTATTACAAAGAACACTCTTTCTTTAGGGTCTGAGGATTAAATTTGTATTCCAGAGCTATAGTTGGAGGTCTTAAATTTTGGTTTTCCATTTGAAAAAGATCAGAAGAGAACATGGTAGACTTCAAGAATCCTCTGGTCTCTTAACCATGTTAAAAAACAACAACACCCTGTTTGGATGGGAGGTTCCCTTCCCAAACCTGGGCTTCCAGAATTAACTGGTCCTTATTGGTTAGCCTTACCTCGCCCCTATCTGTTGAGACCTACTGTAATAGAAATTATTATAATGTCTCTTTACAGGGGATTAACTCCTGGAAAACTGTTATAATGCCTCCTCACAGGGGCTAAAAGTCTGTCCTGGATCCATTGCTAAATTCTTTGGATAAGAATTAGCTAAGAAAGATAGCAGGTCAAAAGACTTCTTGCATAGTTTTGGGAATTTACAAAAAAGTGCCAGCCTAGTAAAGATGGTAATTCGAGGGTTGGAGAATGCTCAGAAGACCCATAAAGTATAACTGCATCTTGGCTGTGTTTGTGAGATACAGTGGCCTAAGATAAAATTCCACAGCCTTTGTAACAATTCTTTTTCCCACTGCCACCAAGTCAGCACTAGCTCTCAGCAACACCATTGGACGATGCAGACCTGCAAATAAATGCTCATGAAGGCAGCAAGAAAACAATATACAGTGCTTGAAAGTTTCAGATATAGAATCTTACCGTATATACTCGTGCATAAGCCGAGTTTTCCAGCACATTTTTAATGCAGTTTTTGTGGTAATATTAGGTGCCTCGGGAGATATTTGGGTCGGCTTATACTTGAGTATATACACTTTTTAAATTAATAAAACCTTCTGTCATTTCTCAGTTGAACAGTTTCCTTGATTCACATTTACTTGAACTGATTATCATTACAAACTAGCCATGATATTGTTGTAGGACATGGGAACATTCTTTCTCTTGCCTTAGCTGGCCAAAAATGTTTCTGGAGCTCCTGTCTTCCTAAAATAAGGATTTACTTTGAGAGGCCCAGAATGGGGTTTTCACATAGAGAAATTTTATTAAGATTCTCCCTGGAGAGAGAGAAATCACCACACCAACCTGAATAACTGGCTCTCTAGTGCTTCTCTGCCCACCCTACAAATAGAACCCTGATTTTCAATTTTCGCAGCGAAGGGGACATTTAGGGTGTGGTAGAGAGGAGGTTTCTGGGAAATGGCCCAAATATTATATACATTCTGCACATACTTAGTCCAACTCTCCAACTTCATTCCCTTGCTCTCCCTTACTGCTGTAGAGTCAGTGTTGACTCACGGCGACCCCAGAGTTTTTGAGACTGTAACTCTTAATGTGAGTAGAAAGCCCAGTTTTTCTCCTGCCTCCCATGCCCTACTATAGTTTATAAAGTATTTAAAATCATCTGACTGAACATTTTGTATTATCTGTCGAAAGGAGTTTATAGAATATAATGAGCTCATAACTCTCTGATTGCAGATACTGCATTTTGAAAACTATCTATGTACAAAGTTCTGAATCAATAGTTTATTCACTGAAGGGAAAAAATAATGTATGTTCAAATTTAGGTTCCTGGTTTAGAAGGATATGAAGATCTTTGTAGGTAAAAACAAATACATAAAAGTTAAATATCAGATATCACAAAATAATGGAGTTTTGATTGCCCAGTGATAATAGATAGATGATAATGCTAAATCTCAGGGACAGAAGGTTCCCATTAAATGAAATGGGAAGACTTTGAAGGAAGGGAAGGACCTGCATTAACTGTAAAAGATGGGGAAACATTAGATTTTTAAAAGAAATGGGCCTCCCAGAAAGGACTGAGAAACACAAAAAGAGGCCTACAGACAGAAAATGCCATCATGGAGAATTTAAGTTAATGTCAGCTCATTGACACCTCCAATGAAGGGAGAAGTTTCAGCAGCCATTCATCCATCCAGGTAGGAGTCACTCCTCCAAGTATTGCAGGTAGCCTACAATGTATTCATTGTGATCTGAGAACCTGGTTTCATGGTGACAGCATTTTCCATTTGGGGAGAGCTGCTTGACTTTTACCTTTGGGCCTGTGTGACAACATGGACAAAATGAAGAGTGTGGAAGCATGTTTCACATGGTTGGCCATGTAGCGAGGTTGGTGCAGCGCCAACTAAAGGTGCTGGCATGGAGTGAGTACTCAAACATATTTCATCAAATAAGGAACATAAAGGCAAATACGGGGAAACAAAGAAGAGTAACAGATTTTTTTTTTCCTATTGCCTGATGGTTGGTTTTATAATGTTTTGCCTTTTAAACAATTTTATGTTTTGCACACATAATCTCTTCGTTATTCAAGCATCTTTGTTTTCCCCGCTCTATCCAAAAATGGTTTCTTTTGGAATTTTTTCTTTGTTTTATATTTGTTCTGGTTTTGGGAAATTAAGGCTAGTCCAGTCTATTTAAGAAACCGTGGTGTTAAGCATTTGGATGATAAACAAATAATCTAGTAGCTCAAACCCTCCAGCCATTGTACAGGAGAAAAACGTGGCAATCTGCGTCAGTAAGAGTTGCAGCCTTCTACTCTGGCTAATAGTAAGTAACACTTTGAGTTGAAAGTTGGCTTAATAGCAGTGAGTTGGGGTTTGGCTTTGTTTCTCCCCATTAGCTAACTACTTTCCATTTCTCCCTAGTCCATTTTATTCGTGAAAGTTGGTTCTTTTTCTAAACTGTTGAGATTATTTCTTCTTTATTCTGACTTTTATCTTGTTGTTGAACTTCCTAGAATTCCTTTTTAACATCTTGATTGGGTTAGTGGCCAACTTGTGGGTATAGTCCAAATATACTCCAAAACTATAGATACCCGTCTATCTTACCTATATGAATGCTTATGCATAAGAGACATTTTTTAAATAGAAATCTTCATTTGCTATATCTCACTGTATTTCTTTAATCTGTTGTAATTTTTTTATTTACAGAAGGTAATAATACCACCCTAGTCACTTCCTGACTTGCTTTGCTATTCAATCTATTTATAATTCATAATAATTTTTATTTCCTTTTTTTGAAAAGTGAGATAATTGTTTAATCATTTTTAGTAACTTTTTTGGATATAATTTATATACCATTAGCTCACTCATTTAAAGACTACATTTGAGTAATTTTTAGTGTATTCACAAATAGTTATCATGATCAATTATATATTTTCTTCACTTAAAAAAAAATTCTCAATACCTTTAGTTATCATCTTCATATCCCTTAGGCTTAAGCATTCACTAATTTACTTTGTATCTCAATAGACCTTCTTTAATCTCTAATACCTTTTATTTACTCTGGGATTTCTCATATATTAATGAGAAATAATGAGTTTTGCTGCTTCCCAAGTTTTCAAGTGTACAGTTTGATTAGGAGACTTGAGTTAATTTAGAGTAGTTAAATACTGTCTTAAAATCACTTGCCCTATGTTAAGTTTAGGAGCCTGGTGGTGGAGTGGGTTACAGATTGGGCTGCTAATCACAAGTTTAGCAGTTCAAAACCACAAGCCGCTCCACAGGGAAAAGATGGGGCTTTCTACTACTGTAAAGAGTTAGTCTCAAAAAAACCACAGGGGCAGTTCTGCCCTGCCCTACAGGGTTGCCATGAGTCAGAATTAATTTGATGACAGTGAGCTTTGTTTGTTTGTAACTTAAGCTGCCCATATCCATACTGTTTGGAATAATTATTTTTCTGAATTTATTCACTGGACAAATATTTCAATGGATTGTGTAAGCAAAGCTCTATTGTTAAATAACGGATTTTACTCTTAAGAAGTTTATGTCTAGACATATATTCCCTTAAACAGAATTGTCAACAACCTTTTTTCTTAATGTATGTCATGAATCATGCTATGATGTAGGGTTATAAAAGTAAATGCAAGCTAATTTTTCAAACAAAGATCCTGGTGAGGGATAAGACTATTGTAAACATGAGACGACTTTGCAGTGTTTTGAATGCTATAATAGCATAAGTGCTGTGGGGACAGTGTAGAAAAAGTGTTTAGTTCTGCCAAGGGTTTAGGGGTGGTCAGATTCTACAAAAAAAAAGAACTAGCATGAAAACAGCTTCAGTGTTAACTCACAAACATAGGAGATAGTTTAAAGGTCGTGTGGGATTTTAAAAAATAAAGATTGAAATAATGTGGCAAAACTATATTAACAGATTTGGGAGATGATAAAAGGCCTCAAATGTACTGCTAGGGAATTTTCAAGCTTGTTGGCTGGAAGTTTTTGAGGTGAATAATATGATCAGCTCTTTTTTTTTTCCCCCCATGTTACAGACATTGAAGTAGGAATTGGGTTTGGAGTTAATGAACTGTTAGAATTCCTTACTATGTAGGAAATCCTATACAGATAGCATAGAGAATAGAAAGAAGAGATTGAAGTCCAGACTGACAGTAGAATAGCCAGCATTCTTTTGAGGATTTTAGTGTGGAAAGTGAAGAAGGAATCAAAAATCAATCTGATTTTTTTTTTGGTAAAGGAGAGGGCATGTTGGAAAAATAAGGGTTTATAGTGGGATAATAAATTCAATTTCATATTGCTTTGGGGACATTCATGTGAAGTGACAATGTGTTTTTGAGACTTTCAAGGTAAGTATAGGCTTTTAGTGTATGTTTAGGGATTAGCGCCATGAAGATGTTTAGAGAAAAAGACAGAGGTAATACCACTCAAGGAAAAGGTATAGGTTAGAGAAAGAGGAAAATTGAAGTGGAACAGTGAGGAAGACTGCATTCCTCTGGATTAGTCAATGGGAGCGAGTGGAATGAAGAATACTGGCAAACTGTGCAGTATCAAAAACCAAGGGGGAAGTTTTCCG